ACTTAATAACTACCTATCCTAAATGAATATCTGAAACAGTTAGAAACACCTCAATAAGCTATTGTATACCTTCTAATTTATTTAAACTTGTTCTACTTCAAGTTCAACTATGCTAATATTTTGTGGAAATTTAGGACTGGCTATTATATGATTAATGTTAATTAAATTAACAAAACGCTGCAAAAGAACCTTTAGAAGTGAAACTGACATGTTGCAAAAGTTGTAGACTGTTATCCTTAGGAAATCAGTACTAAATGTATCTAATCGGGAAGTGAAACTGACATGTTGTCGATTCAATACATTTAGTACTGATTTCCTAAGGATAACAGTCTATAATTTTTGCAACATGTCAGTTTCACTTCCCGATTCAATACATTTAGTACTGATTCCCTGTGGTTAAAGGATTAGGAGGTTTGTTTTGGAGCAAAGCCATATTGGGCTACCTGTGGTGTTCACCGCGGGGAATCAAACCCCGAATTTTAACGTTGTACGTCCGTAAACTTACCTTTGTCTCACTGAGGAATAAGATTAAAAGGAATGTTGGGGGAAAATATCAAATCCTTAAGCCATGGTCATTTTGTGAGTGTTTATTTATTTTATTTGTTTAATATTTTTATAACTCTTTGTTCTATTAAACGTTATTTTAATAACTCTTTGTTCTAGTAAACCCTATTTCAATAAATATTTTAATAACTCTTTGTTCTATTAAACCCTATTTCAATAAATATTTTAATAACTCTTTGTTCTATTAAACCCTATTTCAATAAATATTTTAATAGCTCTTTGTTCTATTAAACCCTATTTCAATAAATATCTTAATAACTCTTTGTTCTATTAAACCCTATTTCAATAAATATTTTAATAGCTCTTTGTTCTATTAAACCCTATTTCAATAAATATCTTAATAACTCTTTGTTCTATTAAACCCTATTTTGATAAATATTTTAATAACTTTTTGTTCTATTAAACCCTATTTTAATAAATATTTTTATAACTCTTTGTTCTATTAAACCCCTGTTTATTTATTATTTTTTGTTTATTTTATCTATTTGCACAATCTTGTAGCTGGTTTGTAATTTATGTTTTGTTTGCTTAACTAGATATATATGGTCTCACCCAGACAAGTTATATTATATTTAGTTATGATCAAACTGTGTGAAATGGCTTCAATATTTTCCAGTCGATTTTTATTCTTCAACATCAGATTTTGTTTTTAATTTTAAATTTATTTGAAACTATAGAATGTGTTTTATTTGTATGTTTTTTTTAGAGCAAAGCCATCTTGGGCTATCTGCTGTGTCCACCGCGGGGAATTGAACGCTGGATTTTAGCGTTGTAAGTCCAAAGACTTATCTCCGTCCCACCGGGGGGGGTGGACAAAATATTTTTTCTTTAATTCTTTATCCTTCTTGTTACTAAGGTCTCTCGGTCGCACAGCGGTAAGTTTTCTAACTTATAGTGCTAAAATCCGGAGTTCGATTCCCTGCGGTGGACACAGCAGATAGCCCAATGTGGCTTTGCTCTAAAATAAACATTCTTATTGCTAAGCTGCTTTACATAACACTGCATATGTTTTTGTTTAATTTCTTACTGTCACTTTTATTATATTTTTATTTTCCTTCTGATAAGTTCTTCTCATATCTATCGATTTTTTAAAATTAAAGGACTAAAGATCCTTTAATTGTGTACATATGAAAGTGTTGTATCTGTTATATTTCTTATTTCCTTTTGCCGGAATTTAGGTCTTTAAAGACCCACTGGGAGGATCAGGTTGGTTGACCTCTTCCTCCCTACTGTAAGATGTTGCATGGTTTCTGTAGAATGTACGTGTAGATACAACATGAGGGTCAGTGTAAACCACACTTACTCCGACCCCTTTCAAGACAATGTCCATGTAGGTATCGACAGTTACATTCATGTCTTGATAGGACAATGTCCATGTACGTAGTGACAGTTACATTCATGTATTGATAGGACAATGTCCATGTAGGTATCGACAGTTACATTCATGTCTTGATAGGACAATGTCCATGTACGTAGTGACAGTTACATTCATGTATTGATAGGATAATGTCCATGTAGGTATCGACAGTTACATCCATGTGTTGATAGGATAATGTCCATGTAGGTATCGACAGTTACATTCATGTCTTGATAGGATAATGTCCATGTAGGTATCGAGAGTTACATCCATGTGTTGATAGGACAATGTCCATGTAGGTATCGACAGTTACATTCATGTCTTGATAGGACAATGTCCATGTACGTAGTGACAGTTACATTCATGTATTGATAGGACAATGTTCATGTAGGTATCGACAGTTACATCCATGTGTTGATAGGATAATGTCCATATAGGTATCGACAGTTACATTCATGTGTTGATAGGACAATGTTCATGTAGGTATCGACAGTTACATCCATGTGTTGATAGGATAATGTCCATGTAGGTATCGAGAGTTACATCCATGTGTTGATAGGACAATGTCCATGTAGGTATCGACAGTTACATTCATGTTTTGATAGGATAATGTCCATGTAGATAGCGACAGTTACATCCATGTGTTTATCAACACATGGATGTAACTGTCGATACCTACATGGACATTGTCCTATCGGACAATGTCCATGTAGGTATCGACAGTTATGTTCATGTGTTAATAGGACAATGTCTATGTAGGTATCGACAGTTATATTCATGTATTGATAGGACAATGTCCGTGTAGGTAGCGACAGTTACATTCATGTGTTGATAGGACAATGTCCATGTAGGTAGCGACAGTTACATTCATGTGTTGATAGGACAATGTCCATGTAGGTAGCGACAGTGACATCCAT